ATCGAAAAACGCCAAAGCGTTTAGCAAAGGGAGTTTTGTTTAGCGTAAAAAGAGTCGAGCACATTGCAAGGACTAGCACTAGTAACTGAAGAACGCCGTTAATTTCGATTATGATGACGAGCACAAGTACGTATATCTAGGGAAATTTGCATAATGAATTGAACACTTAAGAAACGTTTAAGCACACTTGAAGGCATGCGCATACTTGACAAATGTTAGTGTTACGTTTTGATTATTTCAGTATTATTTCAAATAATATGCATAGGAGTATATATAATAACGTTTAATACCTTTTGTGTGTTAATTGAATTGTATTTATACAAGTACGTGTTGGTTCACTGCAAATATAAATGGCATTTATAATTTAATAATTAGTTTCCAGTATTCAAAGACTAAATACGGACGCATGCACGCCACGCTGTACGTATTATAACCCATGCCACATATATCAAATTACTTGAGTCTATTTTAATATCCTCTCTCAATGCAGGATTCCTATAGCAACAAACAACAACAACATGTCTACATGTGTAGCGTGTAGAGTAGAAATATGCATATAAACGTATGTGCTAGTTAAAAAAAATATTCATATAAGTCTTTATAATATGACACTCTGCCACATGCTGCTTACTTATTAACACTCATTGGTGTCATGGAGCAACTGTGCTGCGTCATTTTTTAATCACATTAAGTTTAATCCCTTAACAACTCCTTACACCCATAATTCGGTTGATAATATTCTTACTTTATGCTGTGCTGCTGTGCTATTGCTGAGGGAATAGCAAAAAATTCAATAATGCCTTTAAAATGATTTCCTTTCCATTCTCTTCTCTAGAATTGCATAAACCCATTTCATTTGTTTTATAATAGGCGTGAAATTTTTAAAATTCGCAATTATGTTACGTGACAAGTTTCTTCACATTTTTTTCCCATTTTACTCCTATGTCCTTTCTATACACACATTTGTCAAAGCAATATTTTAACGTTATCGAAACGACGGGGAAAATAGAAGCTTATAGCAAAATGAATATGTCAGGTCTACAATCTCTTAATGTCCCTGATTTGCGTTTCAATATCTCTAATGATATTGTAATAATATGGTGTAATGTACAGCAAGTCATGTACCCAAAATTTCAAATTCAATGAAGAGATGAAAAACAGAGTAATTTCATTGATCGTCCTTCGTGCCCATAGAAAACGGAAACAATAGAAAATTATTATTAAGTGAAAAACTGTTTAGACTTAAATAAGATTATGCGCAGGAATAGATGATTTATAAGATTCTGATGCAGGAACATTATCGATTATGAAACCCAAAAGGTTTCGGTAACAGGAAATACCCAACTAATGGTTTTTAAATATTCAAATTTAATTTGAATTTAAGTTAGATTGCAGATTCTTGCCTTTATATATGTCTCTAGCTGGTTCTAGTTTAACCTTTTCTCTACTATCCACTATTACGAGGTTTTCGTGGATTCAAAACGGCTTTTTAAGTTAATTGAGGAGGACTCGTCTTCCCTCCACCACAATTAACTAACTAACTAGATTGTAATGGCTGTGAAAAGAAATTCTCAAAGGAGTCACGTTCTGTGCCTGTTTAGATGTCGAAACCTCTATGACAGACAAGATAGAAATATTACATAATTATGAAGTTTTAAGTTCGTTAAAAGCGAAAAAGCCGGCTAAGTTGGCTGCTTAAATCTTATATTGCTTAAGTTTAGTTCATAGTGATTTTGTCTCAACTCCGTAGTAATATCAGACATTGGTTTCATTGGTTTCAGTATAAGATCGCTCTTTTGTAAAGCTGTGTGTATATCAATCCATATAATCATGTTAGCTAATGTGCGAAAGTTCTGTGATGCAGAATTTTTGTGATGATGAGAGCTATTAAACTCTACATTGAACTACTTACAGGACACTGTAGACTCCATTACCACATAAAGAGTATAGGTACGATAGAAAGTGATTCCTGTCGAGATTGTTATGAGGATAAGGAAACCTCAGATTATGTTCTATGCAACTGTTTAGAAACGGCAAGACACAGACTTGAGTATCTTGGAAGCGTTATCTTGGTCCCAAATCAAATAGGTGAAGTTAAGCCTACAGCAATTACGAGACTAATAAATAGTGTAAAATTGTTTTAGTTGGGCTTTTAGGCGCTCAATAGTTCTTTTAGGTCCGGGTGCATTCACAGTTTAGTATTTAACAACAATAAAAAAAAATTATAAAGATGCAGAGTATAATTTTAAGACAATTGAGTGCCATGTATATATTTCATGCTTAGCAGAAATAGAAGACTGCTTTGTTGATGTTGTGAGCCATTTTCTAAAGGCAGAAGCTGCAGGTATAATTCGCGTATACTGCTTAATTTGATGACTTAGTTTTAGGTATAACTGATATGTAGATATTATATAGCATAATAAATAATGAGGATCGCTGTGCTACTCTAGTCTCTATGTATTTTTGTGTTCACAAGAAGCTAACAGTAGGGTAGAAGATGCTGGAGTCACGGTCAATTGTGGGACATTACAAGCAAGCTGCTAGTAAGCATTACACACGCCTTTGCAAATAAATACCTATTCAAGATTAGTATAGACCATCTGTTCTCGAAACATCAAGAAGCAAAACCAATAAGGAAACCAGTGGAAAGACATTCTTATTTGAAACATATGATTTTTGTAGTAACTGACTATAATTCCAAACTAATCAGTTTAATATAATATTTATAATTTACTACAATATTAA